ACAAGATTTCCCCACACATAGGTGCAATAGCCTGAGGTAGATCTACTGATGAGCCTGCCCAATCTGCATCAGTGTAGATTTCAATTGTCCTTTTATACCCCTTTTTAAAGAATAATCTTCTTCCTGGAGTGTTCTTGAGGTATCTAAGCACTATAGACTGCACTAAGATGCTTCTCCTTGGGTGAGTGCATGAATTGACTAATCATACTCACCGCAAAGGCAATGTCACCGCAAAGGCAATGTCAGGATGCGTTTGAGATAAGTAAATTAGTTTACCAACCAATCGCTGATATTGTTCTTTATCCACCTCATTCCCATCTTCAATACCTAACTTGGTATTAGGTTCCACAGGTGTCTCAGCAGGTTTACACCCTAACATTCCTGTTTCCAACAAAAGATCTAGAATATATTTCTTTTGTATGAAAGTGATGCCTGTTTTGCTCCTAGCAACTTCCATACCAAGGAAATATTTGAGAGTGCCAAGGTCTTTGAGTTCAAATTGAGCTGCTGGAAATTTCTTCAAGGTGTTCAATTCCTCAATATCATCACATGTAAGAATTATATCATCTACATATACAATAAGAATAGCAATTTTACCATCCTTAGAGTGTTTGTGGAAGAGAGTATGATCAGTCTGTGCTTGAATGAAGCCTCTTCTTTTGACTGCTTGTGTGAATTTGTCGAACCATTCTCTGGGAGACTGTTTCAATCCATATAGAGACTTTTTTAGTTTACACACTGATCCATTTCTCTTTTCAAAACCAGGTGGAGGATCCATATAGACTTCTTCATGTAAGTCACCATTTAGGAATGCATTCTTCACATCTAACTGTTGCAGAGGCCAATCTAGGTTGGTAGCTAGAGATAAGAGAACTCGGATGGTATTGACTTTAGCAACCGGAGCAAAAGTCTCATGATAATCTATCCCATGAGTCTGAGTGAAACCCTTTGCAACCAGTCTTGCCTTGTATCTGTTGATGCTATTATCTGCATTGAATTTTATTGTAAACACCCATTTGCATCCTACTGCCTGTTTTCTCTGGGGTAGGGTCACTATCTCCCAAGTTCCATTTCTTTCTAAAGCATTCATTTCTTCAAAGACAGCATCCCTCCATTTTTGATCATCGAGAGCCTCATGTATATTTCTCGGTATCTTTGTACTATCCAACATAGTATTGAAAGCACGGAACCCTGGGGACAACTTTCCATATGAAATATGATTAGAAATAGGATGAGTAGTACAAGATCGAGTACCTTTTCTGAGAGCAATGGGCAAGTGTAGATCATTTTCACCATGACACTCAAGTGTTGGGGTGCTGGAACTAGAACATGGTTCAAAATTCTGGCAGTGTAGAGGCTCTGGGTTATTCACACTTTGAGGAGGCTTTCGCCTGCTATAAACTTGTCCCCATTTTGAGGAGGCTTCTGATGGTGAGGATTCTGTAGCTCCCCCTGTTTCCAAAAGTAGAGGTAATACTGTGGCATCAGTAGGTTCCCATGACTGATCTTCATCTACTCCTATAGACTCCCTCTGAAGAGAAGTCAAGGGGAAGAAAGGGTCATTCTCAGAAAAAGTGACATCCATAGAGACAAAGACCTTACGAAGAGAGGGTGAATAACACTTATAGCCACGTTGAGTAGGAGAATAACCAATAAAGACACACTGGAGAGACTTAGGATCAAGCTTAGACCGTTGATGGGAGGGAATATGGACAAATACAACGCAACCAAATAACTTGAGAGGTAAGGAGGAGACGCCTCGGAAGGAAGGGAAGGTACGAAAAAGACTAGAAAGAGGAGACTGAAATTTTAGAATACGAGATGACATTCGATTTATTAGATACGAGGCAGTGAGAACTGCCTCTCCCCAAAGATATTTAGGAACACTCGTGGTAAACATAAGAGACCCCACCAACTTCAAGGAGATGTCGGTTTTTTCTTTCCGCAACTCCGTTTTGTTGGGGTGTGTCAGGACACGAGCTTTGGTGAAGGATGCCATGTTGGGAAAGATATTCTCCAAGAATAGAGTTAAAATACTCTTTGCCATTATCTGTACGAAGAATTTGTATAGCAACTTCGAATTGGGTTTGAACCATGGCATGAAATTTTTTAAACACGGATGCAGCATCAGACTTGTCCTTTAGAAGATATACCCAACAGACTCGGGAATGGTCATCAATGAAGGTAATGAACCATCGAGTACCTGAAATATTTTTAACACGGGCTGGACCCTATATGTCACTATGAATTAAGGAAAATGGGGAAGAGTCATGGTGAACTTTAGAAGGATAAGGAGCACGAGTATACTTGGCAAGTTGACAAATATCACAAGAAAACAAACTAGGACTTTTATTAATAAATAAGTTTGGTAACAACTTCTGAAGATAAATAAAATTTGAATGGCCTAGCCTACAATGCCACAGCATAACATCATTACATGAATCAAAAGGAAACATAGAGTTTTTTTCTACGAAAATAGCTTCATGAGTCATCCTCCTCAAAGTAGTAAAGTTCACTATCCTCTCTAGCACTGCCAATCATCCTCTCCGAGTCCTGCTCCTGGAAAACACAACCATGTGGAAAGAATTTAGCAAAGCAATGCAACTCAGAAGTTAGCTTGCTAATGGAAATGAGATTACAAGCCAGAGAAGTAACATAAAGAACTGATGTCAAATTAATCAGCTCAGAGATTTTAATGGTTCCGTGTCCCGCAATCCGGGAAAAACTGCCATCGGCGATCTTGACCCGAGAGGGTTCAGAATATGGAGTGTATGAACAAAATAAGCCAAGATTACCTGTCATATGATCAGAGGCTCCAGAATCAAGGATCCAATGATTTTGACTATCAACATGGAAAGCTGTACCTTGCTGGACCACATTACTAGTGGCCTTAGGAGGTTGAGTCAAAAGTCTCTGAAGTTGTTCAAACTGAGTCTTGCTAAAATAGACACCATCAGAGTCAAAGGATGCATATGGCTCATCAACCTTGTCATCAGTAGAGACCTGATATGCACGACCTTTATTTTGTCCTTTGGGCTTCCAATTTGCAGGTTTCCCGTGGATTTCCCAACATTTCTCACGGGTATGACCAATTTTATTGTAGTGGGTGCACCATGGACGACCATCCCGTTTTGATTCTCCAGAGGAACGATCAATGGTACGGTTGGCAGCTAATGCAGACATATCATCAGACTTATCAAGCGACTCCTTTTCTCCCAGCATAACTCTCCGTCTACTGGCTTCTCTACGAACTTCAGCAAAGGCGTCAGCAAGTGAAGGTAACGGTCGCTGCCCCAATATTCGACCACGAACCTCATCAAGATCTCGGTTGAGTCCGGCAAGGAAATCATACAGTCTTTCCTTCTCCAAGTGTTTTTTAAATTGGGTATTAGCTTCCAATCCCTCAAGATCGGTTGCTTAATAAAGATCCAATTCCTGCCATAAATTTGTTAGTGCAGTAAAATATTCAGTAATAGTCATACCACTTTGACGAAAGTCTCTCAACTTATTTCTCAGTTCAAAGACTTGAGAGGTATTCTCCAGATCTGAGTAATTTTTTTGAACAACATCCCAAATTTCCTTGGCAGTATCGAAGAACAGATAGGTTTGGCCAATCTGTGGTTCCATGGAATTAGTCAGCCAAGCCATGACCAAGGAATTATTAATCTCCCAATCGTCATAATCAGGAGATTCCTCAGTAGGTTTCTTAATTTTTCCCTCGAGATAGCCCATCTTACCCTTTGCCCGGATGACCAACTTAACCGATTGAAACCATTGCAGAAAATTCTTACCGTTCAACCGGTGATTAGTGATCTGCAAACCTAAGTTGTCTCCAGAGGGCTGAGAATTTGGGGCAGATGAGAAGGCGGAAGAACGATTCAAGGAAGCCATGAGTAGAAAGTGAAGGTTTGACTGTGGACCCCAAATTTTTTTTTTCTCCGATTTGATATTTGACCACTGGAACAGGGACAGAGGAGGCCGGCGAGGTGATCTGGGCAGCTCGCGCTGGGAAAAAAAGTCCGAGAAGGCGGCGCGTGGACTACACGCGCCGGAGAGGAGCCGCGCGTGGGAGGTCGGACGGCGACGGGTCCGGCTGCGTTTAACTCGTCGGAGCCTTCTGAGTTGAATGGTACCTCCACCTTCTTGATTGGAGGTCTGTAGGTATGGTTTTCTGGGATTTGGGTTTAGGTTGGATTGTGTTTGGGTGGTTTTGGGATGATTTCAGCCTTGAAGGTGGCTGATTTAGGGTAGGAACGAACCCGCTTTGATACCATATTGAAAAAGGTTTCTGTATATTGATATTGAATAAATTACATGAGTGTGTATTTATACAAGGAAGAATCGCTAAGAATGACTCAGCGATGACTAATCAATCCTAATCACAATCAATTCTAATCAATCACAATCAATCCTAATCAATCATAATCAATCCTAATTAATAGGAAATAAAAACGGAAACATATTTGAATTCTGATTTTCTACATACACAAAGGAGTTGTTGAATGATCAAAAGTGAACTATGGATGTTCTATTATATCGTGTAAAGAACCAATTCAACCCAAAAGCTTAAGCTGTGGGTGAGGCTACATTAATGGTTTTATATATCTCAACACGCCCCCTCACATGAGAGCCCACTGGGTTTGAAGGGTGGACGATGCACAGGCCCACCTACCTGTGCGAAGAAAGAAATTCCACTAGGAAGAAAGTGGGGGGCGGTTAGGATCGAACCCAATACACCTAGGCTCTGATACCATGTAAAGAACCAATTCAACCCAAAAGTTTAAGCTGTTGGGTTAGGCTACATTAATGGTTTTATATATCTCAACATATCGGATGCATGGATGGATAAGAAGAATAGAACTTTGATAAATTTCTTGGTGAATTGTCCATCGGGGTCTATGTTTGAGTGGTGACTGACAAAGTAATTAAGTGCTGGTATGGTATAGTTTCCAACTAGGTTAGTCCTTGTTGAACTTACTATTTCCATTGCATTATGATAGGTTATTCGTCTCTGGTCATTAGACAACTACAAATGCATGGAAGAGTACTTGATACCAGATATGTTCCCTCTTGTTGACTTTGATTTTGATGAGAGCAAGGTTAAGTGATTTAATGAATGTTTTATGGATTAATTTTGCCCACTGAAAAAGAAATTCTACTCTATCAGTATGATGCCTCTTGTTTAAAATATAGTTCAAAGCTTTTATTGGGAGTGAAAACCTTAATTACTGTAAAATTTACACTCATGTTTTGTTCTCATGTAAGACTTGAATGACATACTATTATTGTCTTTATTATCTTGCATTTAAAAGCAGACCGGAGATACCCCGTTCATGGTACTGGGTCACTAGGTCACTGGTTCTGTTGAGATATATAGTCTCACATTGATTGTGTGGGCAACTAATGTGGCCTTTATAAGGTCTTGGGCACTCCCACCCTTTGAGCTAGCTTTTGGGGTGGTATATCCCAAGGTTCTTTACATGGTATCAGAGCTTGAGTGACTAAAAAGGTCACAAGTTCGATTCTCACGGCCCCCCACTTTCAAGTGGAATTAAAATAAAAAAAAAGCACAAAAAGGTAAACCAAAAATTGGGCCTGTGCAATTCCACGCTTTTAGCCCAAAGAGCTCTTGCGTGAGGGGGCGGGTTGAGATAAATAGTCCCACATTGATTATGTGGGCAACTAATGTGGTCTTTATAAGGCCTTGGGCACTCCCACCCCTTGAGTTAGCTTTTGGGGTGGTGTATCCCAAGGTTCTTTACATGGTATCAGAGCTTGAGCCCTCACCGCCTCCCACTTTAAAGTGGAATTAAAAATAAAAAGCACAAAAAGGTAAACAAAAAATTGGGCCTGTGCATAATCTACGCTTCAAGCCCAATAGGCTCTCGTGTGAAGGGGCGTGTTGATATATATAGTCCCATATTGATTGTGTGGACAACTAATGTGGCCTTTATAAGGTCTTGGACACTCCCACCCTTTGAGCTAGCTTTTGGGGTGGTGTATTCCAAGGTTCTTTACAGGTTCAATTGCATGTTTATAAATAAATATAAATTATAAATAATATAAAAATAAAAATACACATATACAACATAGTAATCAATCTTGGACAACAACCGATTCCAAAACCACGCAGTGGGATAACGAATAGCCTGTAGATAAAAGTTGCATGAATTATACTACATATATATAAATACTAAAAAAAAACAAATTTAAAGATCTATTCATGATTAATATTAGCATAGCTTTATTAGTAGGCTCAGTGGGCTTTTCTATTTACTGATTTACTCTAAGTTCAGTGTTATATTGTAGTCTTGGATGTAGTGGATTATAGCTTCTGTTTTTGTTAGTCAGTTGTAATCTGTTTAGCTTTTTTTTTAGACTTTGCTGACTCATCTCTGAGTCACTTTCCACTTTGATACCATACAGTGTAGCTTTATTAGTAGGTTCTGTGGGCTTTTCTGTTTACTGATTTACTCTAAGTTCAGTGCTATATTGTAGTATTGGATGTAGTGGATTATAGCTTTTGTTTGTAATTTGTTTAACTATTGTGTTAGACTTTGCTGACTCATCTTTGAGTCACTCTCAGCTCTATATATAGAGCTTGTACTGCATTTCTTTGTAACTTTAAATCTTAGATCTGAATACAAGGGCTTCACACCATTTTCTATCTCTCTTCATTTTCTTAAGCCAAATACACAAGTCAATAACAACAAAAGTCAAGCAACATAAAGGAACTAAACATTGTCACTTTCGAATTCAAATACAAGTTTTTCCTCAATTGAAATCATCATCCTCGGTATCTTCATGCCGCCAGTGCATTTTGCCAAAGCACAAGAAAAGACCAAGGCTGAGGTATTTGGTGGAGTTGTTCCTTGTGGCTAGTGGAATGATGCCATGACAATTACCAAAGCCTATGTGGAGTGGATGATTACCAAAATCAGAATTAAAAAAAAAATAGATTTTGGTGCAGTGCGTAACATAATAAAGGTTAAAGAACCCAAAAATGAGTAGGGCTTGGCCATATAATAGAGCTTGGCTGGAAAACAAAGTACAGGGTTTGGCCAAAAAACACCAAGGCTGAGAGAGAGAGAGAGATTATTCCGCACAGGTTTTTACTCACTCTTCATAGGAGCGGCTGTGACAATTGTTATTCCCCACAATGTTGGTCGTGACAGCAGCCGCAATATAGGCAAAACTCGAAAACACTATGTGATGGCTACTGCATAGTGGCCAGATAACACATTGCCCGCGACACATTGCCCCCTCACATGAGAGCCCACTGGGTTTGAAGGGTGGACGATGCACAGGCCCACCTACCTGTGCGAAGAAAGAAATTCCACTAGGAAGAAAGTGGGGGGCGGTTAGGATCGAACCCAATACACCTAGGCTCTGATACCATGTAAAGAACCAATTCAACCCAAAAGTTTAAGCTGTTGGGTTAGGCTACATTAATGGTTTTATATATCTCAACATATCGGATGCATGGATGGATAAGAAGAATAGAACTTTGATAAATTTCTTGGTGAATTGTCCATCGGGGTCTATGTTTGAGTGGTGACTGACAAAGTAATTAAGTGCTGGCTGGTAAAAATCTAATTTTATTTAATTTGGTCTTAAATAAATTGTTACAAGCTTGGAGAATGAATCTGTTGTGGACTCCATGCAACACGCCACACATGGTGTCCAAAAAAATGTTGATGTCAATTAAAGTTTGTCAAAGTTGCTAGCTTGCTTAAGTTTTGCATTTTTTATGGTTACTAACGTCTCTTCAAATATTTATTTGTAGATTGTTGGTCTAATTGGTAGTCGGTTATGCATATGGAGGCGGAATGGGAAAAGAAGCATATTTCCTTCACTTGAAGGCAAATTTGTAAAAGGTTCATGCATACGGTAAGCAAAAACAATGCTCTGTTTTCTGGTTTCGTCTAAAATCTATTTACGGCAGTCAAATGTTGTATGCGTAGTGTGGAGTGATGGCATGAAGTAAGTTGGGAATTTATATAAATTGAGTTTTATTCCAAGCTCTTTTAACTCTTCCTCCCTCACTTCAAAATGTCCCCCTTTGAAGAATTATCTATATGTTGTATACCAGAAAGGTGAGACCGAATACATAAAAGGTTGCAACTACTATTGTCAGTTAAATATCTGCCGAAAATTAATTATAACTTTCAAATTTGAAGCCAAGTGAGAAGAAACTTCAAATTTTTGCATGGCATTGATACTATCATTGAGTTTAGATTTTCTGTAGGTATTTTGTTAAGATGGCTCAAAGTTTTATTTTGTAATTTTAGAGTGTAGAAAATAGGTTTCTGAATTGCTTCAGGGAATCCTTTGCAAAACCTTTTTTTAATGCAGGATTTACAATCTCTAATATTGGGAAGTTAGGAAAATAAGGAAATTAAGAAAAATAATATATATATATATATATATATATATATATATATATATATTTATTTCAAATTCTAACTATTTACAGTATAGCATACCCTAAATAGGAGATATGTGAAGTATTTCCCTAAATAGGAGATTCTTTCTCGAGCATTTAAATCATATCCATCAAGCTTGTTACAGATGAAGTTTATTTGAGATTCCCGCAATGACTTTGTAAGAATATCAACAAGCTAATTACTAAAATTAACTAATTCAATGGTGATTTTCTCGGAGAGAACTTTCTTCCTATTAAAGTGACTATCATTTTTTGTATGCTTGGTCCTCTCATGGAAGACCATATTTTAATTTTTGTTTGAAGATATTGCAACTGGTTCATCGCTTTGTAACTAGTCCGATTCGAGGAGGTCTCTGAATTAAGGCTTTAAACCCCTCTCAAATACAATACTGGAGAGGATCAAACACAGGCGAAGTATATAAAGTAGTTTTTTTATCATAATATGTAGTATGTAAATTTGTTTGAAGAACATTTTATGCAATATGTAAAGTAGTTTGATTATCATAATATAGCTTCATATAATCAATATTCCAAACTTCAAACTCACGAAGAAAATGTTTCACCCATATAAGTTCACAACTAACCATTGACATCAAAGTGCCCAATCACTATCAAAGTGCTCCATAAATTGAGCATTACCCCCGTCTTCATACGACAATCCTTGACTTGGAGCATTTTTAATAGATCATAAGATTCGTAGCACTATATTCAGTCGAAAAAGAGATAATCTTATTGATAAAATTGTATATTACACCTGTATAATTTCTCTCTATTTAAAGAGACTAAATAACCTAATGGGCTAAGCTCAAAGAAAATTCTAGAATGAAAATAAATAAATAAAGAAATAAACAAATACAATTATTTACAGCACTCTCCCTCAAGCTGAGGAATAGATATTTATTATTCTCAGCTTGCTAGTAAGCTCTTGAAACCTTTCTGAGAGAAGTCCTTTTGTTAGAATATCAGCTAATTGACGTCTAGAAGGGATGTATGGAGTGGTGATCAACCGGCTATCAAGCTTCTCGTTGATAAAATGGCGGTCGACCTCAATGTGCTTAGTCCGATCATGTTGAACTGGATTATGAGCTATACAAATGTCGGACTTATTATCATAAAACAGCTTCATAGGTCCTTCACATCTTATTTTAAGATCACCAAGTATAATTCTCAACCACAATAATTCACTAACGCCTTGAGCCATAGCTCGAAATTCAGCCTCAACACTCGATCTGGCAACCACGTCCTTGGCAACCACGTCCTTCTTCTTACTCCTCCATGTCACTAGGTTACCACAAAGAAACATACAATAACCAGTGGTAGATAGACGATCAGTTATGGATCCAGCATAATCAGCATCAGTATAAACTTCTAAAGAGAGATTCAGGACTTACCAGTGGTTCAGACGATTGAGGTTGATGGTGAAGCAGTGTGGGCTGCTTTCTTCTGTGATATACCATCTCAGGTGTCACAACCCTCCGTATTTCCAGTGTATCAGATGGGTTAGACACAGAAGAATTAGATACAGGAGAAAGATGTGTAGGAGAAGACATGAAAGGTCCAGACTCAAAGATAGAAGATGATGAATATACTGAAGAACTGCTCTCCCCCTGAAGATGAGGACTTGAGAAAAAGAACTCAGATTCATGAAATATGACATCCATTGAGACAGAGAATTTCTGACTAGCAGGATGATAACACTTGTAGCCTTTTTTTATCAGGGATATAATCAAGTAAGATACATTTGAGAGCCCTAGGATCTAACTTACCGCGAAGATGTTTATGAACGTGGACAAAGACAACACACCCAAATACTCGTAGCTAAAGACTCTGAATAGAGGAAACAAAGGGAAAGAATGAGGTCATTGAGTGAATAGGACTTACATTGTCAAGAACTCGAGAGGGCAAGCGGTTGATTAAGAAAGCTGCAGTAAGAATGCCATCTCCCCAGTAGCACTTGGGTACATGATTTTGAAAAAGTAAGGCACGAGCAACTTCATGAAGATGATGATTCTTCCTCTCAGCAACTCCATTCCGTTGAGGGGTGATGCTCACCGGCAAGTGTACCGATCGCACAAGTAATACAATGATAAGAAAGTATCGTCTCCACAGGGATTGGATCGAATATCAAATAATTGTCCTTTTAAGATGGAAGGAATTCAAATAGGTGTGACAAATATTGTTGATTTGATTAAAATTAAGAAATAAAAGCAAGAACGTATTTTTGGAATTTTTGTGATAAATAATAAAAATAAAAATAAGGATTGATTTGTAAAAGTATAAGAAAGCATTGTAGCTAGAGTGCACTCACCAAATGATTCCCACTTCTTACTTTGGATTGATTTACAATACTCATTTATATAATTACTCAGATAAATTATTATCTAAAAATATTCAGTAGTTAACCCTCAATTCCTTGCAAGATTAACCCCAATTGGAACCCTAATTTCTTGCAATGTTCCTCGTGGCATTAAGCAATGAACCCAATAATTTAAGCATCTACAATCAAATATACATCTATTCCTAGCATGCATATAAATTGTTATCCTACCCCCTTTCAAGATCAAAACCCCAATATTCCTATCTAGGGTTCTAACCCTCAAACTATCATCAACTATTAGATTGATCAGTTCTAACAACGAAGACAGAAATTACGCACAGGGTAGAGATAAAGATAATTATATAAACGAATAATTACAAACCAATCCGTTGTAACAAGGGTTCACATAGGGTTCGTGACCTAACTACAATAAAAAGTACCTAGCCAACCATGATTATGGTTGAAATATCAATGTTCAAAATTGAACTGGAAATTGGAAAAGGGAAGAAGAAGATGAACAAGATCTTCGCAAGACTCTCCCTCTGAGCACGACCGCCGTCTCTGAAGAAATTCGCATGCCTCGTTCTGTGTAAAACATCCTATTTATAAGCCATCTTTCCTTCTTCCAAGTTTGCCCTCGTAAAAACTTGGTCCTGTAAAATCGCAAACTGGGGCGGGTCCGCGCCACTGTGGCGCTGGTCTGCGCCATTTTTCTGCCCGTGGTACTGTGTCACTTTTTTCCAACTGGCGCGGGTCCGCGCCATTGTGGCACTGGACCGTGCCAACTCTCTGGTCATTGGCCTGGACAAGGTTTTATGCATCTCAGGAGCAAGCATCTGGCGCTGACTTGCGCATCTGTGGCGCCAAGTCGCGCCAGTTCTCTGGAAAATGGCCCAGCAAGATTGATGCATCATGGAACTTCCACCGTTGTGGATTTGCGCCACCAAGCTTTTTGTAATTTCCGCCTCTTCTCTCTATATAAACATAACAAATAGGTGAGAAATGTCATTGAGATGGAAAAGTCAATACAATAAGCAATTATGTATAAAAAGTGCTCTTTTATAACTTAATTCTCATCATTTCTAGCTTGGAAAACTACATCTGCCAGAGGCACATCAAACCATTCCCAGATTTAAACGTTGCTGTCCCCAGCAATGTACAAGACTCAATCCAGGAAACATTCAATTAATCCAACATAACAATCCATAGACACTCTCAGACACAATATGCCATGCATGACTGACCCAATATCATAAATTCCCAACAATGTCATCAACTTCTTAAAGATACAAGTCTACATTGATTACCCCTCACACAGATAAATAATGTCCACTCAACACTCAGTGTTTAAGGGTATCATGAGCACTCAATCAATCACAGCTATAACACTACTATAGGCTTGATCATATTCTCAAAAATTCTTAAAAATGAAGAATCAAACACATGCACCAATTGATCAAAAGGACTTCACAGGTTGTAACTTGGCCAAGTTAAATGGTAGGAATATATGGATAGTAGCTCAAACAACAATGAGATTGAAAAACTGATACTCTTTCACCTTAACACATTCAACTCAATGATTTTGCTCCACTAACATTTCCACAGAATTTCGGGAATTAATTCCTGTCAGCCACCTTTTATGCACATTCACCCTTTTTCTTTTTCTTTCTTTTTTAATTTTTTTTATAAGGGTACAGATGACATCTACATCCCCTACTTACTTTACCTTTGTGGAGCTTACCTCAATTTCTTTGTTTTATTTTCAACACATCAGGAATTCAATCTCAATCAAGGTAAGTCACATGGATATAGGTTAAACCATCAATCAGGCCACATGTCATTTATCAACAAATTAAGTTTAGGCTCAAGGGGCTAGCAATGGAAAAATTTCATACAGGTGGGCTATTTTTGCCATAGGCTAACAAGAACAAAATGCCTTTATCCTCTCAACCAATGCATGCATTACAGAGAAACAAATCAAGTTCTAGAGTGTTACAACAGTGAGGTCTCTCAACAAGAAAATTCAGTTTTTAAGCTCAAACCTCACAACTATGGTATCAATATAGACTTAAGAAAATTGACTTCAGACATTATCTGAATTTCACAACATTAATTCGGACAAACGAG